TACATAGACTCTTTGATGGACAAACTGAGGACAGGGCATACAATTTGTGTCTCAAGTTTTTTGGATTTAGTCGCAGTAAGGAGGATGATATACCTACTCTAATTGCAAAATTAAAAAACATATGGAATGACTTAAAAGTTGAAATTTCAAAAATTGACACAACTGCCAAACTCCCTGAATTGTTCCTGATTTGTAAAGTTTTAAATACGCTCGATGAACGGTATTTTAACTTTAAGTCAAGTTGGCTAATGCTGAAACAGTCTGCAAAGACAATAGAAAGTTTGACGAGTAACCTCTGCTCCTTTGAAACAGATTTAGGCAGTCAAGAGAGCTCACGTCAAGAGGCACTAGTGACTACGCCTGTTGAGCGAAAAGTTAAACAAAAGACAGACGAACAGCTGATCTGCAACTATTGTTCTGGGAAAGGACATAGAGTTCGCAAGTGTAAGAAGTGGATTAAGGATGGAAGGCCACCAAAACCAACTTCAAACACGTCAGCATCTGGTTCCAAGTCTAAGCAAGTACAACATATTTCGCTAATGGTAGATGCCTGCACAAAAAGTCAGTTTCAAGACCGAAATGGCTGGTATGTTGACAGTGGAGCTACAACACACATTGCAGTGAAGAAAGATATTTACACTAGTTTTCAAAACTTTGATTCAGACCACACAATATCAACGGCAGATGGTACTACCATACCTGCATTGGGAATGGGTACTATTGAGGTAGAGTCAAATGTTAACGGAACAATAAGGCAAATAACTCTGAATGATGTGTGGTTAGTACCATCACTGACAAAGAATTTATTTTCAACTTTAGCAGCACAAGATAGGATGCAGAATAGTACATTCACGTCAACAACTAAGGAATGCAACTTAGATATTGAAGGCATAACTAGAGTTGTAGGACGTAGAGTTCCATATGGCGGTTTATACAAGTTGGACATGAAGACCATCATGCCGACAAAGTATAATTCGACAATAGAGATAAATGCTGTAACTGACTCCAATATGCTACAATTGTACCATGAACGCTTTGCTCACCAGGATAAGAGACATGTCATGCGCGTATTAAAGCGTGAGTTAGGCGTACACTTGAGTCCGGATAAAGTTAAATGTGAAGGATGCATTTATGGGAAGTCACATCGGAAACCCTTTGGAACAAGGGAAAGAGCAACAACAGTTGGTGAACTTATACACACTGACATTTGCGGTCCATTTACAACCGAAAGTATCTCAAAATATAAGTACTTTGTATTATTTAAAGATGATTTTTCAAGTTATCGTTTTGTATATTTTATCAAAGAGAAGTCAGAAGTAAAGGAAAAGCTTTTGCAAATGCTTGAAGAAAGTAGAAATGCTGGGCATACTATTAAGACTTTACTAAGTGACAATGGCGGAGAATTTGATAATAAAGATATGCGAAAGATATTACAGAGATACGGCGTACAACAGCGGCTGACTATGCCTTACACGCCGGAGCAAAACGGCTGTAGTGAGCGAGAGAATCGTACTCTAGTAGAAGCTGCGAGATCAATGATGTATACTAGAAAACAAATGCCGCAAATACTATGGGCTGAGTTAATCAACACCGCTACCTATGTACTCAATAGGACAGGTCCCACTAGAGTGGAAGGCAAAGTACCTTATGAGCTATGGCATGGAAAAAAGCCCAAGATAACTCACCTAAAAATAATTGGTAGCGATTGTTATGCGCACATTCCAAAACAAAATCGCAAGAAAATGGATAAGAAAGCTATAAAAGGCATTCTTATAGGCTACGAAAATGATGACGGATATCGTGTCTATGATGGAAAGAAGACAATAAGGTCAAGAGACATTACTTTTGAAAGCGATGTTGAATTCAGGATTTCCACCTACATGCCTAATTCTTCAGAGGGAGTACTAAGAGATACGAGTCACTTTATCGAGCAAGAGCCTAGAAATGAGGATGACGATTTTGAACATGTTCTAGAGGGAGATAGAACAGTGGTGATGGAAGACCATGTTCAAGAATCCATAATCCATGAGAACAGCGATTCTATTATCCCTAATAATGAGGATAATGATGACAACTGTAGGGATGATGTTGATGAACCACTACAAGTAGTCGAACCATTAAGTGACATGGAGCCTAGGTACAATCTAAGAGAGAGAGCGACCATACCTCATCCCAAGAAGTATCAAGACTATGTGTGCCATATAGGTACAGAGAGTTTCCCTGGTACATTTAAAGAAGCTGTTGAGAGAGAGGATAGTGCTGAATGGAAGAAGGCTATGGCAAGCGAACTCCAGTCCCTTAAAGAGAATGATGTATGGACATTGTGTGATTTACCACCCAACAGAAAACCACTTCCGTGTAAATGGGTTTTCAATATAAAGCGTAACCCAAACGGAACTATTAACAAATACAAAGCTAGGCTTGTAGTTAAAGGATTCAAGCAACGAAAGGGTATTGATTATGAACAGACCTTCAGTCCCGTTGCTCGCATGGCCACAATAAGAGCTTTGTTAAGTGTTAGTGCTAAGGAGAACTTATATTTAACACAATTTGACGTAGCGACTGCATTTCTGAATGGAAAGCTCAAAGAAGAGATCTATATGAAGCAACCAGATGGATTCAGTGACGGCACTTCAAAAGTATGTCGTTTAAATAGAAGCCTCTACGACCTTAAACAAGCACCGCGCTGTTGGAACTCTTGCTTTGAAGAGGTACTAATAGAGAAGGGTTTCATACAGAACAGTGCCGATTGTTGTCTTTTCACAAAGAAAGTGAAAGACAAGAAAATATTAATAACTCTGTATGTAGACGATGGCCTTGTCGCCACTACAGACAAAGCCCTGGCGGACCAATTCCTTAAAGAATTAGGGCAGACGCTAAAAATAACAAGCAAAGCAGCAAGCTACTATCTGGGTTTGGAAATTGCAAGGTTGAAAGATGGTTCAGTATTCATCAATCAGGAATGTTATGCTAAGAAGATTTTAGATAGGTTCCGGATGTCTGAATGCAACCCAATCTCAACACCTATCGATAGGACTTCTGAAACAGGGAAAGTTGGAGACCCTGAAGAGAAAAAGTTCCCATATCGAGAAGCTGTAGGTGCACTTGCATATCTAATGACAGGCACACGCCCTGATATAGCGTATGCAGTTGGGCTAGTTTCGAGAAAATTAGAGAATCCAACTGAAGCTGATTGGCAAAGAGTTAAACGGATATTTAGATATTTGAAAGGAACAATATCCTATGGCATAAAATATCATGGAAATGCCAAAGTCATAGTACAAGGCTATAGTGATGCAGATCATGGAGGTGATGACCTCACAGGACGCTCTACTACAGGAGTCACCTGTTTATTTGCCGGAGGTGCTGTTTCGTGGCTCAGTCAAAGACAAGCATCAGTTGCGATATCTACTACTGAGGCAGAGATTGTTGCAGCGAGCGAAGGCGCACGCGAGCTTGTGTGGATACAAAGAATATTTGACCAGCTTACAAATATGGAAGGCATACCCACACTACAAGTCGATAACGAAGCGGCTATACGCCTTGCAAATAATCCCGAGTTTCATAAGCGGACGAAACATATCCGCATAAGACACTTCTTTGTTCGAGAGACAGTGCAAGAAGGTCTAGTAGATATACAGAAGACAAGTTCTACTGACCAACTAGCTGATCTTTTGACTAAGGCAGTTCCTAGATCAAGACTCGAGAAGATTCGAGCTAACTTGGGACTGCTAGACATTTCTAACTAGCGAGGGAAAGTATTAAGGTTGAATAGCGCTAATATAAAGTCTATGACTAGAGTGGTTACTAGGGCTACCCTCCTTGTTTATTGTCACTCTCAAAAAAAACTGAAAAAGTGTATGTCATATACGTATTACATAAATTGTAAATAATAGTGTCTAAAGTGTTCGTGTCGTGTTGTGTACCTACTCGCCTGATCCCTTCCAGTGTGTAATACCCGTATCTGCTTCCGTCTCCACCGCTTACGATATTTGGATATCTGGTAAGCCACTCTAGTTATATTAAAATACCCTAAAATCCTAAAAATAACTTCCCATACAAACACGACTCTGATTTATTGTGTTCTGACCATAGACACTAATACTTCTTTGTTCCATAGACCTGAGACCAAAATAAACATTACTCCTTCTACAACAATATAGTGATGTTCCAACACGTAAAATTCTTATTATTTCGAGTTGAAATTCAGGTAACACGATTTGAAATCGACTTACACAGCGCGAGGTACCAACAAAATCTGAGTGTATTATTGGTTATGAATCTCTCTTTTAGAACAATTTTCATTGATCGATCGAGTTATGACTCATTTATCTCTGACTTTAGTTTTAATTTAGATTTAGTAGTTACTCATAATTATTACACATGTTTAGCGGCTAAGATGGGGCCGCTATTATTTATGATTATGTTGTGTTCTTGTAGCAGCATCATGAAAGGAGGTGAAATGATGAGTCCAGATTGTAGTTATGTACATATTTATAATTACGAAATATTTACAATGAATATATAGGTATGTACAAGAAAGTGATTCGGTCTCGAATGACAGGCCTGTTATTTTATTCTTCTGTCGTAACTAGGCAACGGTGTTGCCGCGCGATTATTATTAATTCGCCACACACGTATTATACAAACGTGTGTAGGTAAGTATATAATATCAGTCGCACACTAATATCAGTCTAACTGTATAATGTACATATTATTGTAATATAGAAGAAGATATATAGAAAGACACAGTTTTATACTTTAATAAAATACAAGACATGTGCTAATAATATTTTAATCATTAAAATGAAACAGACTTAAGCAACTTTGTTATTTTAAATAATAATTATGTAATAATCTACTAGATAATACATCTGGTTACTTTATTTATTACTTGCCTCAATTTTCGTTGCAATTAGAAATTTTATTCAATTTTAAATAGCATTTTCTGGATACGTAAATATAACAACAAATGTTTTTTGGAAGTGAATATTCTTAAAAGTATTTTCGATCACAATTCCTTCGATACATATAAAATATTGGTTATATTTTATATGTATCGAAGGAATTGTGATTTCTATTGGTGCATTTGTCGCTAGCCCAAAGTAGAGTTGAGAGAATTTGACTCGAGTTACTCGAGTTGATACATCTCTAACACAACACATTTTTTTTTAAAGTTATGTTGTGGTGCAATCTATTAGTATTTTAGAGTATTTATTTTCATCTTTTAATATATCTTTAGCCTATAATAATAATATTTCATAGCCAATAAATATATTATGTAAAATGTCTGTGGTACTACAAATAGTAATTTCAATAAATACGCTTTGTTTTATGTGGTGAAAATTGAGTGAAAAACATGAGTAGTTTATATGTCTAAATCCTTAATCCAGTTTTAAGTTCATTTTATCCAACGTGAACATTGACAATACATTAGATATAATTTGCAATCTTGGATGAAGTCTTGGGCTGTTTATTTGATTATCTATTTGTAGTTTAACCATTACAGTAAGAGACTAAATTTTATTATTAGCATAGCTTTATTATGTCCATTAAATACCTATTTGTTTTAGAAGGAAGCTTTGCACATATTTTTGATGTATATTTTAAATAAATGCCTACAAAATATACTTGTAATTTTAAGCTTTATTTGCATACAATAAGGGAATACCTTTTTTGGGTTTAATGAACATGTTGTTCATATTTTTACATTTCTTTTTAAGATTTTATTATTGTATTTGTATACATAATCTTCACATCATATATTATGATGTGAAAATTAGACACTATATACTTCAAGTGAAAATTCACTACATAGTGTAGTTTTCCAAATTACATAGATAACCCTCAGAAACATACTTGTCACTCATGATGTCATGATGATCTCTACATTTGTACTTCATTGTTTTCAATGTATCATGCTTTTTTAAGATTGTGTCAGCCACTTATTATGTAAATAATACTTCCAGGTATAACAATGGGTGGCTGTCGCTGTACATATCGTACATGCACTGTCAAGACTGATGGAAAAACTCACATGTTTCATTACCCTGTGTTCGACAAAGTGAGGTGTCACCAATGGCTACTTAATGCTAACAGACTTGAGTTCTTCAATTTGAAGGTGTCGCAGCTTAGAAATAGAGTAGTTTGTCAACATCATTTCAAAGATGAACAGTTCATGAATTATAAGGTATTTTATTCTTTTTTTATATATATATGATTACATTCCGAGCTATGATCACCATTTATGTAAGTGTACAAATATTACGTAGTGTTGAGCAAAGCAGTCAACAGTTAATAAAATTGTAATTTATCTTTCTCAATAACCTGTAAACTTTGTATTCAAAATGAAATTAATTTTGATTAAAAATAACACTATTTTACAAATTTTCTAGGTGGCTATAGGGTTCTAATTAGTTTTATTTATTGAACACAAATTTATATTGATATATATTGATTCTGAAATTAACTACATTCCTTTCGAATAAAGTGATTTTGTGGGACATTTTATTCAAAAGAAATCTGCTAAAGCACCAGAATGCTTGTTGAGGTTTACTGTGAGAATGTTCTGTTAGTCATAATTGGTGATGTGAAGTGAATATGGTTATTATCATAGGTTTTTTTACTGATTATAATACTCCCAACTGAGTTACCCATCTTGACAAATCCTCCAAGAAATTGTGATGAAGGTTTTCAGGTGGCCTGCATGGAGTCTATCTGACATTGCATATTGGTACATTGCTAGTAATTGGGTCAACAGTCCACATTACTTACATTCCAGTTCTCCCAAAACATACAATTAGCCATGACCATACCAACATCTTCTTTCAAGACCAAATATCCACGGTTGGTAGCTTCTCTGCACTTGATGGAATCAGCGAGGTGTAATTAAATGCAACAAAGTGATTTGTTACATAATAACAGTTGGCCTCATGTTCCAAAACCTGTGTTCCAAAATAACTTACCTGGAAATATTTCAATGGAAAGTTTTATGGTATTCATTTGATATAGCTCCTTCCGAGTTTCATATATACCATTCCATGGCGCATGGCCTGGCCGAGCAACCCTTCCACTATTAGGAAAATACTAAAGTAGTGATTGATTCTCAAAAAACATATGATTTATCTGCCCTTACTTCTAGAAAGATGGGGGATAGTGGTCTCTAGTAGTGGTTAAAACTTTGGGTGATTTTTTTTATTTCTTATGTATGCTGTTTTTGACATTCTAAAATCTTTATTTAAACATTAGGTTGTAAAAATACAGTGAGCACTTACTCACAGTCACAGTTACAGTTAATAGAAGTAAATAATACTGTTTTAATTTTAACTTTTTCAAACTAATTGTAAACAGTAAATACGCTAAATAGTATACTTTCATAAGAAAATAACATTGTCAAGTAAAAAATGTAAAATTGCGTATTAGGAGTAATACAAGACTTGTTTATGTTTATGCTGGTATTTTAGTAAACTTACAAGAGTTTTATTTATTCCATCTACTATAAATGTATTCATGTACCTATATTTAAAATGTATATGTATTAAAAATTTTTTTATAATTACAGAAAGATAAACTGAAATGTGATGCAGTACCTTCAGAAGATGGACCCTATTGCAAAACAAAAAATGATAATTTAGAAAGACCAAATAAGATATGTAATATAACTGTTCAGGATATTGAAAATGATATTTTAACGGTAACTGATAAAAAGGCCAATTATTCCACAAAATATGTAGATTTCTTAAGGAATAATGAGACAAACATTCCGAATATATTGAATGCAAGTACTCCAATTAAAAATAAAAGTTTAGAAGAGTACAATAATAACATGAATATACAAAACAATATTCAGGATTCAAACTGCAACAACATAGAGTACTATGTTACTGATAAATTAGATAATTATAAAAATAATGAACAGCCAAGTCAAGAACAGAAAATAAATTTAAATAAGAATTTTGATATACAATGCAAACAAGCAGTACCAGAGATGATCAAAAAGTATCAATCACCACCAGTAGTCCTGATGTCTCCATTTTGCAATAATATTGATGAAAATATAATTAAAGTTGAATTGGCGCCTAATTTCGACAACACTTGGTATACTCAACTAAACACTCTAAACCAAAATGATGTTAGAATATCAAAAGACCAACAAACACCAATATCAACAGCGAAGCCAACTACAAATAATAGAATAAAAATTATATCAGAAAAAAAAATATCTGAACCATTTCCTTTGCCTAAAAAACTACGTAGAATTTCTCCTACTTCAATTATTTGTGGACCTAATACAGAAATTAAGATTCAGTCCAATGAAGCAACTAAAAGTAATATATTATTAGATGATAAGCCAACAAAATACTGTGTAGAAATAGAAGTGGATAAAAAATACAATAATCAAAATGTAGAACCCCATATTGGCAAAACAAAGGAACAAAAAACTAATAAAAATATAATGTTAACAAATAAAACATTTGATAATATGGAAATTGATCTATCTAAAAAGTCATCTGAAAATAGTATTCTAAATCTAGGTTTGTCAACATCCCCCAAAATTGCACAATTAAAGAACAAAATTTCTCCAGAGAGAGTAGCAGCAATTGAAGAAAAAAGAAAGTTTAATATGAAACTGAGAGACATTATAGAAACTTGTTTTGATAAATTAGATGAACCTTATCAAGTGAATGAAGAGGTTAAACAAACAAATAATACAAAGAAGCGAATTAAACAAAAGGAGACACCTAAAATCGAATCCTACCATGATCGAGATCTTGAGCATTGTAATACGAATGTATCTACTATTGCCATTTTAGAAGAACGAATAAAGAAAATGGAGGAAACTTTGTCTAGAAAAATAGATGAAAATTCTGAAAAGATAAATGAATTAAAGTTTTCAATGTTACCTCATCCTTTACAAACTAAATCTGTCACCACTCAAATTCCAGCTAATGAAGAATCTGATAAAAAACGCCTTTATCAAGAAATATCTAAATATTTAAGTCCAAATGCAAAGAGTTTAATTTATGAAGAACTTTTTATTAATAAATATACTCAAAAACAAAAAGTTTCTCCGCCTTCCAAACGTCGCAAGGCTAGATGACTTTTATGATAAATTGTAAGATTTCTTAACAAAACATTTAATTATATTTAAGCATTTAATATATTGTAAAAATTAATTTAATTTAAACATCCCATTTATTAAATTATTCTCACTAGAGATTTTCCTGTGTTTGCTCCATTAAATAATCCTATGAATGCATCAGCTGTTGATTCAAATCCATCAATAATATGTTCTCGGTACTTCAGCTTTCCTTCTTGTACCCATTGAAGATTTTGTTTGATTCCTTCAGTTGTACGATCTGCGAATCTATTTACCAAAAATCCTTCAATTTTTAATTGATTTCTTACAATCGACGGTTGTAGAATCGTAGCTGAAAAAGGTGAAACTTATAAATAATTCGCATATTGCATAATAATGAAACCAGTATTTGTGAAACTGAACAACTTTCAAGAGTATAGTCGTAACACTACAGAGCCATACAAAATATAAAATATCATATCATATTTTAAAAATTATATTTTTTTTTAAGAACTATAGTATATGAAGGCAAGGCAATGATGATTTTTGAAAGAAATTTAATTATAAAGTATTTTTATACATACACCGTCGCTGTTGTTCGTATTTACATATAAAAATTGTTAAAGTGTAGTGCAATCAAATATAGATTTAGGATAGGGAAACTTTTTATATATTTCTTTAGGTGACAGAACTTTTAAAATAGATTATTAATAGATCAAGGTATTTATTATCTACACATATACGTGCATACAAAAAAATATACAAGTATTTAAATATTTCTAATTGTCGTTTAGTACCCATAACACAAGCTCTGCTTACTTTGAAACTATGCAATTTTAAATATTACTATGTAATATTATGTTATCTGTGATATTACTTTAGATTTTTATTATACTTTTCACAAAGATGTTATCAATGTTACCTTTTCGCTTTTCAGATTCTGTTTCGTTGTAACTTGATATAGCACCGCAAGTTGCTACCCTTCCAAACAGATTCATTTGTGATACCACAACACTGCTTATTTCTCCACCTACATTGTCGAAGTAGCAATCTACACCATTAGGTGCGTTTTCTCTAAGGAAAGTTGCAATGTTCACATTTTTATAGTTGGCTGCAGCATCAAATCCAAGATCATTCGTCAGCCATTTACATTTTTCATCTGTTCCAGCAAAGCCTATCACTCGACATCCTGAATTAAAAAATTATACATATTAACTTGTAATATCTATTGTAGATAAATGCGGCATGTTATGGGAAGGAGCGAGGATCATGTCTTAAAGAAAGTGTATAATATGAACGTGGATGGATGGAAAGGTAGAGGACGCCCTGAAAAAAGATGGATGGATTGTGTGAAGGATGATTTGATAAAAGTAGAGTATGCCATGTAGATATAACGGCCGATAGAGATCAGTGGAAGAGAATGATATATTGCGCCGAACCCAAATAATGGGATAAAGGCAAGGCAATTATGATAACGTATTGTAGATAAAAATAAGTATGCATTTTTATTGAATTCAAAATCCATAGTCTGAATTATATTTGTCAATTGTACAACGTTTTTTTTTATTATTTTTATTACAATCGATAGGGTTTACAATTGTGTTAATTATTGGCTTAGTACCATTTACGTAAATGCAAATTTTACGCAAATTTACACATCTTAACTAGGTAATAAATGACACTTTCTGCTGCTTTTTACGAGATTGGATAATATTAACGTAAGAATATTATTTTTGTTACTGAGATATGTATATCGCAGAGTCAGCATAAAAGGTACTTACTCAGTGTATAGAAAAAAAGTTATGCAACGCTAATCTATGCAGAGAAGCAAACGACATTAAAATGCTTCGCGAGCATACGATACAGAAATACTGGTCTCCGCTAGGCTAGTTAAGATCGTACAATGTAGCGATCGCCTCCACTCACCACAGTCCAGTTTCCTGCTGTTAGTTAATTCTAATAGAAGAATCTTTACCAAGTATCTTAGCGATTTGGCCGACATGAGAACCGACGGCTCCGGCGGCACCCGACACCACCACTGTCTCTCCAGGTTTTGGTTGACAAATTTGTGTGAAACCGAAATATGCGCTATTTCTGTGATAAATATAAATTAATTAGGTATAAGAATATATATATATAGTCAATAAATTATATCAACACAGTAAAATTGTGGAAATCGTTACAACAGATATATAGAGATATAGGTACTGCAGTGGTTCTCTAACTGCATCGTGAGTTTGCGACTCCTCTGGAATATTTTTTTGAGATAAAGGATTGTGTATTTTCATCGTGTTCTTTCAGAGGTCCGTTCAGCCGTTTAGTTGTGAAAAGGTAATAGATAGTCAGACCCATTTTCACATTTGTAATATTACAACGGATTTCACTTACCCGACTCTTCCACAGACACCCAATCCTAAAGATATTGGCAAGTTACCAAAATCGGGTAAACGGTACAAATACGGTTTCTGAATGCAGAATTTTTCGTCACTCGGTTTTGTGATAGTATATGTCCGCCAACCAAAGTGGCCCATAACCCATGTACCAACTGGATATTCCTTATTCTTACTTTCTATAACTCTAGAACAAATAATTCCTTCATAAAACTCGGTCAATTTCGCGACTGTTTTAAATGTTATAAGAGACCAAACTCAATAGTTTGTCTTTTGATAGACCATGTAAAATTATTTAGAATTGAGTGACATACGTATGATATCATATTTGCTCGTGTAAGATAACAACCCAAAAAATAAGTGCAGCTTTTGGAGCGAATTTTAATGATGGTTTTGTTTCGTTTTCCAATATTATAAATGAAAAAGGTTGCGGACGGTTGGTGAATATATAATAAAGAATATATAAATATTCCAAATAAAGATGTTTCATTACATTATTTCTATTATTACATCGAAATAGTTGTGCTATTAGTTATTACACTAATATAAAAGAGATCGAAGTACTTATGTAGGTAAGTACTAACTTGGCTATTTGGCCTCCAATCATGTCACATGGATATTTATCTCCCAGTTTCATTCTTTGATATGGGTCTACGCTTATGTATGCTGCTTTTGCCAAGAATTCTGCAAAAATATAGGATAGTTTATCAAAATAACTTAATGGTGGTACCAATTACTAACATACTCATTCCCTCTTCTTCATTTAGACCGTTTGGTTGGTATATACCAATATAAGTACATAGGTATGTAATTACGTTGAGAAACATTAACCTTCTTTTTATTTGAAGTCGGTTAAAATATGCCTCTGTAGTAGAAAGCATAAGTAGGTATTAGAGTCTGAAAGCATTATTATTTATTTACTGTTTAGTTTATTTGAAATAATAAAATGAAAGAAGAATAACCTTCTTAACTGTAACTCACCATCATCTTGTAAATCAGGCAGTTCCTCTTCTACAATCTTAAAATCACTATTCTTCGGTTCTCCAAAAAAAGGCCTTAGAACAATATACTTTTTTGATAACACCATTGTTAAAAAATATTTTAAATTCGTCTAATTTGTAATCGCGATGCTCTATAGTGACAGTTCACTTACTGAATAGCGGGAAAATTTAAATTTAAGCATGTAACTTGTAATAAAATTAGGAATTGTAAAAAATAGTTACTCTTATTGACTTCGTATAGAAAACAGACTAAATATTTTTAAGGAGTATTAAATTCGTTGTTATCAGCGTTTGTTTCATAGGTGACTGGCAAATATTAATACAACTCTTGAGATAATGTGGTTGTTGTTTATCAGTACGACAACACTTACACAAATTTATCTCAGTAGAATTATCAGTGCCAATAATATTGACTTGCATGATTGTAATATATCATAGCATAGTATACCTATATATAGAGTACAATACCAAAACTTAAGAGATTGGTAGATTTGTGAGGTAAGAAATATGTGGGTAGAGGTACTTAGCTATATAGGTATACGTAGGTACTTATAATTAGATACTTAAGCAAGCTGTGTTTATATTAAGGTTTTTGTACAGGTAGCCATCATTATTACACATATCTTACATTTTCTTATATACTGGTTTCAGTACTAGCTGATATATTTTATTTATGTAGATAATTTTTTATAAACAGGTTAAGTTAAATTTGGTTTTATAAACAAAAAACAGAAAATGAAACATTTCCACCTTTAAATATAGATACAATATTTTATATAGGTATATATTTAACATTTTATTAATAATAGGTAGTTTGGTTCTTAAATTCATTCTAAGGATATATATATATATAGACAAGCAGAGAAATATCATAAATTGTAATCTATGGTTATGATGGTTTAGTGATCGTTTGATGCTTCGTTGGCTAACTTGTCATATTTTAAGTTAAAATTATTTTTAGGTTCGTATCGATTGAGCAAATAACCACTTGTTTCTACATTATTGAGGTAAACTCATACGTCAATTTACGTTATATAATTCTAATAATCGTGAAAGATAAAACATTAATATTCTTCATATGATACGAATGTGGAGATAGGAGAGGGAGATATTGGTATAAATTTAGTTGTTTGGTAATATTTTATGACTACCTAAATAGTTGTTTACAATGAATTTATTTGTTTTAGTCAACCCCCATATATGGAACCTAAAGAAAAGTATTCACACATATCATATTTTACATTGGTAAGTATTTATCATTACCACTGAGAAGATAATATCATTACTAACTGAATCAATATACGCATGAAACCTATATTAATGATATCAATGATTGAATAACATTTAATAGAGACAGTAATAAGATTTTAATAACAGTAACAAAAAATCACACAGCGCCATCCAATCCTAAGAGAACTTGTTTTAGGAGTACTAGATAACTGATAAAAGTATATAGATACAGTTTTCTGTACATACATATATACATAGAAAACACCCACACCTATACAAACAATTATACTCATGACTACAAATATTTATACCGTACGAGGATACGTTTTAAATTATTGCACTAAAAAAGTACGTGCTACTCTCAATTCTATTAATGAGAATTAATCAATAATATTTAGTGATAGCTAATAAATGCCCTCTATAGGAACAATTTGTGATTCCTTTGTAAGTGTTTTAGTAAACAAACCTAGTACAACAGTCGTTATTTTTATTGTCATTTTTAACTAGAGAGACGGTATTTAATTTTCTTTGTAACATTATCGTAAAATAAATTGGCAGAATAGGTACCTAGTTCAAGGTGTTAAGAGTGAAGCCATTTCATTATTTAAACACTTCTTAGAATTAGCATTAGTTTTAGACAATAATAAATAGTGGTCGAAAACGACCGACCATCATTAATTTAAATTATAAGGTTTTATTTTAGTTTAGCCGTTGCCACGTCTGTTAATTGTCTAATTCTTCTTACCGCATAAGCGGCAGAACTATGTAAGTCTATTCGCCAATTCAGAAATATGAGCACCCCATTGTAGTTTGGAGTCTAATGTGATACCAAGAAATACAGTATCATCAACAAAGTTAATAAGTTTATTGTTCAGTATGATTTTTGAATCATTAAACCACTTTAAAACAGAAGAGAGAGCACTGTTTACTTCTTTCATATCATCAATATGTCGATTGACTTTAAATATTAATGAAGTATCATCGGCAAACAGAACTATGTCTGCTATTTTTTCTACCATGTAAAAGGACCAAGAATAGATCCCTGAGGAACACCCATTTTAACACTGGAACCTACGGACCTTACACCATTTATTTCAACAATTTGCATTCTATTATCTAAATAGGATTTCATCATCTTTAGAGCTTCATTTTGAATACCGTAATGTTCTAGTTTGAGTAAGAGTGTTTCGTGATCATCCTGAGACCTCTCCCAACAGTCAAAAATGTGTATCATTAAAGCTACACCAGCGTCAGTAGTTGATTTAACGGCCGTGAAACCAAATTGCCGACTGTGAAGCAGTCTATTTGTTTTAAAGTGTTGAAGCATTTGATTGAGCATAATTTTTTCAAACACTTTACTTAGTACTGCTAAGATAGAAATGGGCCTATAATTACCTACTTCAGTATTATCCCCTGACTTAAAATGTGGCGTTATTTTACTATGTTTCATTAAATTGGGAAACACTCCTTCAGAAATACATTTGTTAAAAATAGTGTTTCTCTAATAATCTGTAGACTGTAGACAAAAAAAAATAATTATAGAGTTATTGATAATTAATTGATCTTAAACTTGTTTTTGGACAATAAAATCAGTGGAATAAAAATTTTTTTTTAAAAGCAAATGAAAATACTTTACGCGCGAAAGAGAGAAACCTAAAGCCCTCACGATTGCGCGCGTGGTTGGTATACTACTCGTGAAGGATTATCGTGTGAAGCTAATGACATTAATTAAAATATTCAATTATAGCAATACCTATTGTATTTCCTTTTATTTATATTTACTGATTTCCCACAAATTTGCGTTTGCTTGAGTTCTTGTCTCACCTAAAAAGCTGGCTTTGTCACCTATATTTCGGTTGAAGCACAGATAATATATTATTTAGTCGAAGGCAGTGAAATTACAGAATATGGAAGCATAACATCTTAGTCGTCCGAAATGGTTACGTATGAGTGGTATCACGGGCGTCACATGATAATGATATGTCCGTGGTGCTGCTTATGTGTACATATAGGTGATAGTTTTTTTAATTGAGGAGTTTGGGCTATTGTTATGTGCTTGTAGACTTCGACCACTTCGAGCACTTCGACCCACAAAGACCTATTGTGGTCGCCCTTGTTGAAAGTTCGCTACCGAGACCTGTCAGGGACAATAATCGAAGATGTTCTTTGGAGCGGTTGTTTTTATCTCTTCAGGAAAGAGTGTATACTTTCGAAAGGAGATAATTCGATCATGCATGAGTGGGCTACAACCACATAGGATGTGTAGTTCCGTTTCCTCTTCAGCTTGGCAAAATATAAAGAATTTTGTCGAGCACCGGCCTTTGCCAAGTATTTATACAATATGCAGTGTTCAATGAGGTTTTTTTACACAATAACAATAGTCTATTAGGATATCGTTAGTGTTTCATTGTTCTCCAATTTCATAAGAATATACTTACATCGTTAAATTTTTATATGTACAAAATATTTTTTTGTACATAATATGTATATTTATACAAAATATGTTTCTGCTTATATTTTCAAAAGTAGTGCATCTAGGTACTTTTCGACTAATTCTTACATTATATGCTATTCATCTATATCGACGGTTGCCACTTACCATCACTCGGACCTTATTGCCATATAGCTTATATATATTAATATTATTCTACCATTTATATTCCAATTATATATTAATATACCATTCAAAACATTACATAACAGATTGTTTTCTTTAATATTTACAATGTCATTTTTTCTATATTTGATAATAGATAAATCGACATCGGTCACAAATTATATTATACATACTGACTGTTGCAGGCGACTTCATCAGATTTTTTTAAAATACAATACATAGGTATAAAAAATTTGCCTATTTCTGGCCTCGTAATATAATCTATTTTCAGGGCAAATTTTGTCAAGATTCGTTTAACCGATTACTTACTACTGAAAAGATAACAAATCGACAGACGGAGATATTTTCATTCATGCATTCAAAACATTAGTATGCCTTTCTGTGCAGATTACATATACGATAGATATTTCTGCAAACCACATTTAAGATTGACAAATAAAACTCATAGTGTATATATTAATACACAGAGAACAATATTTATGCATATAATACAATATCAGTCAAAGATATCCGCTAGAATTGTAGTAGTAATAATGATATATAATCTATGTTGTATAAATAAGTCAGTGTCAAAAGACAAATGACACTAGCTGTCAAAAAGGAGTTTGGATAAGTTTGTTAGAAGAATGTGTAACGGTGACAAAACGTATAATAAAACAATAAATGGTAAAACAGTAAATTGTGATTATTAATTGTCTAATAATACATGGCGCAGTCGAGACGAAACGAAACCATATAAAAAGATGCAGTGTTATCTTCCGGAAAAACTTGTACTCTCGGGAAATTTGGACGAGAAATGGAGGGCTTTCAAGCAAGGGCTTGAAATATATTTACTAGCTGCGGACTTGGAGAAAATACCAGACGCAAGAAAGGTAGCTATATTGTTGAATTTAGTGGGAGAAGAAGGTATAAAAATTTATAATAATTTCAACTTGAAAAATGAAGAGAAAACTTATGTTAGAATATTACAAGAATTCGAAGCATATTGTGAGCCTAAGAAGAATAAGTTGTATTGTAGATTCTTATTTTATCAAAGGTGTCAGTCTGAAGGTGAGCCATTTGTTAATTTCCTGACGGATATAAATAAATTAGTGAAAGACTGTGGATTTCAATCTGAACAAGAAGCAATACGCGATAGATTAGTTTTGGGCACGTCAGATTTAAAATGTCAAAGGAAATTGTTGGTAGAAGGAGACATGGAATTAGAAGAAGTCATAAAAAGATTGAGAATATCAGAGATGGATAAGAGGCAAGTGGAGGAGATCCAGAAAAAAGATAACCATGTGGATCAGGTATTGCAAAAACATCACAGTGAAAGGACAATCAACTGTAAATGGTGTGGTCAAATACATGTGGCAAAAATGGAAAAGTGTCCAGCAAGAGGAAAGGAATGTTCCAGATGCAAGAAACTTAACCATTTTGGATCTGTTTGTCGTACGAGATTGAAGCAGAATGTAAAAGCTGTAGAAAAACAGGAGCCACAAGGCTCTGAAGGAGAGTACTACTGTGGGTCAGTATACAATAGCAATAATGATAAATGGGTGCAAAAATTATTAGTAGAAAATAACATATATATTAAGTTCAAACTGGATACTGGTTCAGAGGTAGATTTAATTCCATACAATATATATGAAAACCTTTTGAAGAGCAAAAAGATTTTGTTAAATAAATGTAGAATTACGTTACATGCTTATAATAAATCTAGTATTAAAGTGCATGGGCTTGTATTGTTAGAAGTCAAATTAAATTCTAAAACTTATTTAATTGAATTTATAGTCACAGAATCAGGTCTTCAACCCACATTAGGAAGATATACATGTGAATTGATTGGTCTAGTGCTAAGAAAGGATGTAAATGGAGTTAAGGAGATTAAAGGAAACACAAACAGAAGTAACATTATCAATGATTATATGGATGTATTTACAGGGTCCGGGAGATTTCCTAAGAGGTATGGAATTAAATTGAAACCAGGATCTGAAGCTGTATCTAAACCTCCACATAGAGTACCTATAAAATTAAAAGAGAAGCTAAAAGTAGAGTTAGATCGCTTATGTAACCAGGGAATAATTAAGAAACAAGAGGAACCCACAGAGTGGATAAATAGAATTGTAATAGTAGAAAAAGATGAAGATTCTATACGTATATGTTTAGATCCTAAGTCCTTAAATAAATGTATACTAAAAAAATATTATCAGATTCCTACAATTAATGATTTGAAAACGAAAATAGGTAAAGCTAAATATTTTTCTGTTCTAGATTTGAAAGAATCATTTTGGCAGATAGGGTTGTCAGAGGAGAGTACAAAGTTGTGTACATTTTCTACAGTGTTTGGCACTTATTCTTTTAATGTCTTACCATTTGGGTTAGATGTATCTGCTGAAATATTCCAAGATAATTGTGAAAAATGCTTTAATGATATAGATAATCTTTTCATATATATTGATGATTTCTTAGTATTTGGTAACACTAAAGAGGAACATGATGTAGCATTAAAAAAAGTGCTATTGCGAGCTAGGGAATTGAATATTAAATTTAATATAAATAAGTTTCAATATTTACCAAACATAGTGCACTATTTTGGTCATGAAATTGTAGATGGATGCCTGAGGCCAGATAGTAACAAAATAAAAGCAATAATTAATTATGATATGCCTAATGATAAACAGAGCTTACAGAGATTTCTAGGATTTGTTAATTATTTGAGAGATTTTATTCCCAACTTGTCTGAAATAATAACTCCTCTTCGTGAACTGCTAAAAAAGAATATAGTTTTTCAGTGGAATGAAAATCACACAAAATGTGTTGAGAAAGTAAAACAGCTCATAATGTCCCCACCAGTACTTCAAAATTTTGATCCCTCATTACCAATTGTAATACAGACAGACAGCTCCAAGAATGCCATGGGATGTGTACTGTTACAAAATAAGCATCCTATAGCATTTGCATCAAAAAGTCTTAGTAGAATTGAATGTGAATATGGGCAAATAGACAAAGAATTCTTAGCTGTGTTATTTGCTTGTCGTAAATTTCATTATTATATTTATGGTAGACACATCACTGTACAGACTGACCATCAGCCACTCATAGCTTTAATGAACAAAGAATTGCATGAGATAAATTCACAGAGATTGAGGAAAATTAGAATTAAATTGGCTATATATGATTTAGAATTGCAGTTTATTAGGGGATCTCAAATGTTGATTGCTGATGCATTAAGTAGGGCGTCGAGTACAGCCAGTATTGAAAACTTTGAATTGTCTATTGATAAAGTAGTTCATACAGTAAATGTTTCTAATGCATATATGAAGGAGATAATTTCGGAAACTAAGAATGACATAATATTACAAAGTCTAATAATATTGTGTAGAGATGGTTGGCCAAATAAGATAAGTAAAGTGCCAGATCATGTAAAGTCATTTTATAAATTTAAAAATAACATTTATTATGAAAACTCGGTAGTATATGTAGATCATAAGATAATAGTTCCAGCAATATTAAGGAATAAAATTATCAATGAAGTGCACAGTTCACACTTTGGTATAACAAAAACACAATCTAGAGCTGCTTCTTTGTTTTATTGGCCAGGCATTAAACAGGATATCATGAATGTTGTGTCAAAATGTGCATTGTGTGAGAAGTATAGTGCTAGGAAGGCAAAGGAACCCATGATTTTGGATATAAGAGCTAATTTACCTTTTGAGAAAATAGGTTGTGATTTTTTTAATTATTCTGGAGAAAATTATCTTATTGTAGCTGATTACTATTCAAAATGGTTTGAATTGGTTAAAGTATCATCATTGTCTGCTTCCACAGTAATAAAAATATTAAAAAATATTTTTTCAATACATGGCATTCCTAAAGTAATACGAGCTGATAATATGCCATTTAATTCCTGGGAATTTCAAAATTTTGCAAAATTATGGCAATTTGTAATAATAACATCCAGTCCATTATATCCAAAATCTAATGGTTTTATAGAAAGGTTTGTGGGCATTGCTAAAAATATGTTAAAGAAGTGTTCTGAAAATAAATTAGACATACATTATTTATTGTTAGAATATAGAAATACTCCTGTTTTGGGTTCACCATATTCACCATCACAATTGTTATTCAGTAGATTAATTAGGTCTAAGATACCTATTCATGACAAACTGTTACTTCCTAAAGTTGTAAACGATTTTAATGACTATCAAGCTAAAAGGGACAATGCTAATAAATGTAATTATGATAAATGTGCTTTAACAAGTAATGATAAATTTTACATAGGTCAGGATATAGTTTATTTGAAAAATACTGTATGGTTAAAAGGAAAAGTGAAGGATTTTCACAATTCTCCTAGATCTATTATTATTGTTGATGAAAATGGAAGTGTATTAAGAAGAAATACATCTCAGGTAAAACCATGTAAATCTATCACTACAGGAGGAGGTGAAGAGATAATAAAAGAATTGTCTCCAACTTGTAAGGATAGAATGGCTGTGTGTATCCCTGAATCAAATATTTGTATTAATGAAGATGAGGTAAATGTGGAAGGTGACAATAGTGAGAGTCTTATAAATGGTAATACAGAACATAATCAACAAAATCAAAATGTAGTTAGGTTTAAAAGGAAAATTAATGCTCCTAGTTATCTTAAGGACTATGATTGTGAATTTTAGTTTTGTTATTTAATTTCTTTAAAGGGGAAGATGTAGTAGTAATAATGATATATAATCTATGTTGTATAAATAAGTCAGTGTCAAAAGACAAATGACACTAGCTGTCAAAAAGGAGTTTGGATAAGTTTGTTAGAAGAATGTGTAACGGTGACAAAACGTATAATAAAACAATAAATGGTAAAACAGTAAATTGTGATTATTAATTGTCTAATAATACAAGAATAGTTCAGTATGGCACGGATACTTTACCTGAAATAAAAAATTGGTAATAAAGTACAAATTTATAAGCTTATATTTACATCAAGAATTTATGCACTCTTAATATATGTATCAACATTAAAAACAATATTAAATTTTATTTTAAGATTTAATTTAATTTAATTTGTTTATTATACTTTCACGATTTGAACAATTGAAAAAAATATTCAATTGTTTAGCTGGACAGAGGTAATAAACAAGCTGACAACTTATAATGTTTGTAAAGGTTTTTCTGACAGATACTTCTCTTGTTATTCTCTACCCTTCAATTCAATTCAAAATATTTTTTCTTGTAGCTTTTATCTAGGTAGGCTTTATTCATGTAATTCTATTATACTCTTATGATATATTAAATCTATACACTGTTTTCAGACTACTTTTGAATTCGATATACCACCAATAACTGGTTAACTTACGGAGTGGGAGCCACCATGGCGGCGGCTGTCAGCTTAGAAATGATGCTGCCGGCAACCAAGTTGCCGTAGTATGCCTGTGCCGCAGCTGCGGTGCTGCCAGCAGCTATTCCTGCGCTTCCAAAACCCAGCATCGGAGCTACCAGCCCGAGACCCAAACCTCCAGTGCCGTAGATCACGGCACCACCAACAACATTCACTACAATTGCAGAAACTAGGCCCATTTTCTGGAAAATGTGATCATACTAATAATAATAATACATATGCGTAGCCCAAGGTTAACTGTTAGGACCTTTAATAATTAATATTTTTATAGATAGAATAGCAAGTGCCTTTCAAATTGTAAAATTTTGTTATTTGCAGACTATATAAAAATACTAAAAATTATAAATTATTTATTTATTTATTTATAAAAACTTCATGCACAAATATAAAACAAAATAAAGGTGCATATGGCGGACTTAACACCATAAGGCATTTTCTCCCAGTCGACCATAGGGCAAACAGAGATTATGTAACTGATCAATATTCTTTATAGGAAGATTTAGTCAGTTAGGTATTTAATAAATATGTATGATATAAACATGTAAAATACATTTTCATTTATTCATCTTAGACAAACGTATAGATGATATTGTCTCGAAAACTAGGGGTTTAGGATTTTTTATTTAAAGATAACTTCCTCTAATTTTAATAATATTAAAATATGGTACGTGATGATGCGGCTGATTTCAGCAGATTACAGGGTTTTTGAAAATGATAGATTCGCTTATATTCTTCAATTTAATGAGTAAATACTGTGATAAATTACAATTTTGATCGAGTGAACAACTATACCTTAGATCGATCGGTTGATTTTTAAGTCTGTACGTTAAGTTGTTTAAATTGGATGGGTGTGCGGTCCAATCAGAACACTCCCTTTGTATTGCGTTTTGTTGCTGCTTGCTACGCGACAAACACAAATATATTTATTCTGATTTATCTCGTATGCGTATTGAACACGTTCAAAAAAGTTTCATTGTTTAGATTATAAAGTGAAACAGAACATTCTTGTTTATAAATACAGATGCAAACATTACCATTTACTACCACTTCAATAACATTAATGGATTAGATGACTTCCCTTCCCTAACATTTTAAACAAATTACAATAATGTACACAACATACTAAATTTACACACTCTACCTTATTATATGTAGAAAGCAGTAAAAGAAATTATAATATAGGTAGATAAAATTTATTTATTATAGTAAAAATTTTAACAGATGTAACTTTGACCTCTTTTGCCCTTTATTGTGATTTGTGTGTATTAAACGCGAAAGTCGGCGAAAGTTTTAAAATAGACACTAATGTATTCCTAATTTTATAAAGTAGGTATGCCTGAGGGTTGCCAACTTTTTTTGACAAAAAAACGTATGATGATTATGTCCTCCTTGTCGTAAATCCTACAACAACGACTCACTAATGTTTCCTTTCATGCGCTCTTATGTAACTAGCGAAACCAAGTTTGTTTTTAAAGGTTCGGCGCATTGTGTGCAGTCGCCGCAGAGCGCCTCACTCTCACACACGAAACACGAATCTTGCGGGTGTAGCGTTTCACGTCAAAGCTCTTTGTGTGCTTTTAACACTAGAGCTATGACAAATATCACAACTCACAATTTATATTTAAAATTTCGTTCAGTAATTATAAATCGTTAAGTATCCATAATGAATATTTTATTTTACGTATCACAGTAAAGGTTGAAAATAAAGTATTTTTGCATACCTAAATACCTACTTTATGTAAAAAATATAAAGTATAATTACCAAAAACAACTTATCGTACGTTATTATAAAGTATGGTTGGCAAGCCTATGCATGCACCACATGATTCACTGTCATAATTATTATTTATGGAAATAATTATATCTACATCATTATTTATTATAATTATTTCCTCTGTAATATATATATACCTATAAACAGATTCAACATAGTACCACTTTTTTAAACTGAGAACAAAAGATAATAATATGGACGTAGTACTCACTGGATTACTGTATCAGAGTTCCGTGTGGCAATATGTACTGTGTACTGATTACAGTATTAAACAGTTCTCTATTTATACATATTCCATGCAGTTCTAGAATATTCTTTCGGCACTGAATGTAAGCAGTGTTGCCACATGTCGCTAGGTCGTCTCGTCTAATTCAGCAAATTTTTAGCACAAAGTAGCCCAAAGTCGTCGATTATTATAGAGTAATACTTGATCAATAACGAATCAATGTGCGTTAGTTAACATGATTTGTTAATTTAACATATAAAAAATAATATTTTCTTTAGTAATCATAAAATAGGCGATTCCCTGATTATAGCCCCGACCATGAGCTTCATTTCCTTTTAGTCGAAAAGTTGCTTACGAAACCGACCTAAGTAGTTATTTTTTTTCGGACTACTCTAACTATAATGCGTTGACCGTAGCTGGCCTTTAGAGCTTCACCGGACGATAGGGGGAGAGTGCAGATGGCACTCCAAATCTGCAGAAGGACAACTCCCGGCTGACAGATACGACTTTAGTCTGAGGACACCGGTAGACGTTCGAATCTAGGCTCGGGCCGTCGGAATTTCGATGCCCGAATTAAAGTTCATTATCTTTATTATATTTAAGTCTTTTCTTATTATGTGTCATGTTTCTAAGTGTTCATTGAATAACTTGAATTGGATTTCATATCCTTTCAAAACCAGATTCAGTACGGGGAAAGGATACTTAGTAATCAGAGACTAGTAGTCTCAGTGTACCATTGTTCTTATTAAGTACTCATATATAAAGTGGCTATTTACAGATAGGAACCGTATTTTACTTTGCACCTATCAAACTAGGCAATCGCAATTTTTTGACGCACCGACAAAAAAAATACCCATCAATATAACCTAATTGGCAATCGGTCCTTTAATCTGGCTACACTGTTCAATAAGCAGTCTTTAATACAAAATGGCTACCAGCACACGTAACGCGTGAGTCATATTATTATCATATTATGTTATCTGTGTTATTATGATTCGAGACAGTGTTACCAACAAAGTATAGGGCAACCCACTAGTTAGGAATCTGAAACCATTAAAACTACCTATAGTTATAATGTTGACGACCTCAGTGGTCTTGTGGTTTAGCACTTTGTAACTAGTTTTATTTGTATTAAAACAGTGAACAAAGTACCTAAAGCATATAGCGTACGGAAAGTATCCTAAGTAAGGTATACATAGAAGATAAACAAAAGTGAAAATAAAAAGAAACAAATTTTATTTATGTTTAGTTAATTATGTCGTACGTAGTTAGCAACAATTTGTTAAAGAATATTGCTATAAAGTAGTAAATAAAATATCAATATAGGTTATAATTGTTCACGGGAAATCCCCTTGAAAATACAATAGAATAGGTTAATGTTTGCCACTACAACACAACAATTACCTCATTTTATTTCCCTACATTTTATAAAGTAATGTTATTTTGTCCTTTAAAACTTTTGTTTTAGAATATAATAACAAAAAATCACTCAATTTTAATTCCTATTTTTATTTTGATAAAAAAATGTGTAATATAAAGACAGAGAAATTTATTTTATACTTAATTATATTTTATGACTCAACAAGACTACATATGACTACATGATTACATATGTATATGACTGAACACAAAAAGCAAATTGACTATAGAGAGAACGTCTGCGTAACCCTATTTCTTTATTTTGAAAGCCCTAAATACACAGCATCATCATATTTTACCTTAATTATAAAAATCTGTAGTACCTACTAGCTTATGTCTTCCAATCTAAACTTGCACACAAATGGCTGTAGTTCTTAGAGAAAACAGTAGATAGCGTTATTCTAATTCGATTCAAAAGATTCTTAATACTACCTGCTTGTATGCTGCTGATGTAACTTGGCATTACCTTACCAGGTCAAACATCCATATGTAAATATTGTGGTCAATTCCTGGCGAATTCTCAACGATCGACTGACTGACCTTACTTCTGACTTCATGCCAAGCTTATTCCACGCTCTTCTAGCCATCCAACATATAAAAGATGCGGATTAGAACGCACTCTGTTTCTGCAATTAATAGTGTTTATATATTGTTACCGACAGCAGCATCCGCCAGCATTTGGTTCTGAAGTACGATAACGACAACAATATTTTTATAATCAATTAATCTGTTTTGTGTTTATATAATTTAAGTAAAGATATAAATTATAGAGATTAAATATAATTAGAATCATAATATAAAATGTATGTTCTAGAGGGTTCATATACTCATGTTTATTTTTTTGTGTAATTTATAAGTTCTGACTTGACTTTTTCGGTCCTATTTCTTTTGTCTATAAATAAAAACCATTGTGTTCAGGATTATTCAATTTAAAACGATAAAGGAGAATAATTACTTAATTAATTACTTACCTATATAAAAAAATTATAAAAAAATCATAGTTTACGCGTTTAATTTGTTGCCGCCCCGTAACAATATCTAAAATAATTTTTATTGTGTTTTGGCGTTATCATACTGTATTGATCTCTACAATGTTGATGTGGCAATTTCAGAGATATCTTCATATGCTAAATTTTTAGCAAGTGATGCAATAAGGAGCCGCTAGATGGCACTGAATTTATTACCTAAAAATAGCAACCTGTGAACTGTAAGTAGTAAGTAGGTACTTAATAAGGAACAAATAATATAAAAAGCTATTTTTTTATGTAATATATGGTACCTACCTAATATTTTTTGCACTTACAATGAGTCTAGCTGATAGATTCCTTTATATCTTTTTATTGAAAAAATTAATCTAGTCGATTGATGTATTAATGTATTTCATAGTATAGTGAAATATTGTTGCCATTTTAAAAATGACAGTATGAGTGATAACTTTTACTATAAGAATTCAATAAATAAATAGGTCGGTTCGTCTGTCTGCTGTCCCTCTATCTATACATAAGAATAGATGTCGTTCACATATTTCCTCTTACTCTTTATTATTACACCTTTATATAGGGTATTTATTACTTAGTTTTTAATATTTATTATTAGATAAATTTGTAATAATAAAGCAAATAATCCAAAGGTCTAAACTCGTAGTTTCTTATCAGGATTGAAACTGTAGGTAGGTATCCGTTGTTTCAGGGGATCGCAACTAAGTATTATTTTGGAGCTTTTTTGATATATATATATATGAGCTATATATTATACAAATAGAATGAGGTTCATTTTTGAAATAATATCATCCTAGTTAATTTCAATTATTTCAATAATTTGATTCTAAAGATAAACTATAAATGTATGTCAATGCATATTATATTTACGGACATTGGACGGATTAAAGAAGTCGCCTCGTCAGTACTTTATTTTACCTTGCTTGATTCGAACCTCCCACGAATTAATTTCAGGATGAATGAAATGGTTACAGGAATATGATAATAAGACTGTACTCACGAGGTATACACAATACGGATTTGACACCCGGTCGGCCGGTTCGTTTTAAATTGGGGTGCAAATTGATTAGTAGTGTTGACCAGCCCGACATGTCAATCACTCGATTGAATGATTTTAACTAAATTCGATAAACTCTACAAATTAATACCAACGTATGGTTGGGATGTTTTTAACACTTACATTCATATACAGACTAATATTATTCGATATATATATATATATAGCAGTTTCATACGATATATGCTTAATGAGATATATTTTATGCAGCTCGCACTATACTCCAATGTGTTCGAGCCAATTTAGTAGTAGAGTAAAGTTATCGAAATAGTTTGTTAATCCGGTACCACACAATGGTTCTGACATATGTATATACCTACTAGCTTAAAATATAATTGACTCTATGGAGAATGGTCCAGCAATTCATTCATCGCATTCGTTGTGGCTTTTCCTCATTAATTAAGAATGGTAAATGAATGAGCGTAATATATTTTATAGGTAGAATTCACAGGTATTAAAACGCATGGAACATAAGCAAAGCATGAAGATGAATCTCTGGCTCTCATCATAAGAAAGTATTCTTGAAAAAAATAATTTCACGACATCACGCGTGGAACAGCAACTATGTATGATTATACTTATGTTTAAAATTTTTATATATTATTAACAATTACCTATATTGGTGGATAAAAAAACTAATCGTTTTAATGTGCTGAATATCAAGTTTGAAACCAAATTAAATTACATAAAATTGATTACATAAAATAGATTATTTCTATACTATATGCTATTTTAATTTGAACATAATACTATACTCATCGTAAAAAAATGTTGGACTGCTCTTTGAAGATATTGCATGGGACTAGATGATCATTTATTATTGTTTAATTTTGTATTAGTTTATATATCATAATCTATGTGCACATATATTTTACTAATTTATGTAAATATCATTTTTATAATTTGTATATAGGTATACATATAGTTAATGTCATATTAAGAAATCAAGTCAAGAAATTAAAAATTAATCATATTAGGGATTTATAACGAACTGTTTCTAGATTGCAGGAATGGAAAAGCAAGACATGCAATCGCAATCAACAGGTGTGTCGTCAGGAGACTGACAAAACCAGAAACACTTCCTAAAATTTTATGGTAGTACGAAATTCTACAATTTCGATGGTACGATTATAAACTTTTGATAGATTATTTTATTTAGAATGTGTCTGGAGTATGCTATAGCAACCATTGATTTTTTTATGAGCGCATATTAAAAATAAATTAAGTTGCAAGATTTTAAAAATATAGTAAACTAGATGTGCCTGTGGTTTCACCCGCTGTTGTGGATTTAGCTCTCTCGTCAGGTAAGTTTTGGTAATGAAAATAAAGACTTCTTAATGTATTCGTGTATATTTTTAGACGGCCATGACAATACAGTTTTTATAGAGGGAAAAAAGCATAGACAAAAAAAAATTAAAACATAGAGGTTGGAGAATAGTGTTGACAGCGTATAAAATGGAACATGCCCCCGGACGTTGAAAGCTTGCCTTTCAACAAGAAGTGTCGATCAGAGGGCAAATCTTGCTGAATGATCTTCTGACTACGCCATTAGAAGTCTTCACATCTGCAACGCGATTAATGCCATCGGTCCCGGGATAAACTGCAACAATGCGGCCCATTTTCCATCTTAAGGGAGGCAAATTGTCCTCCTTCACAACCACCAAACTATTCAGCTGTAAATCTGGTTCCTTAGAGTACCATTTGCTCCTTTGCTGTAGTTCACTGACATATTCCTTAGACCATCTGGCCCAAAAATGTTGGCGTAGTTGTTCTAGTCTTTGAAATCGATTTAGATGTGTTAAAGGGCGGCCTTTATGATCAGCAACTGGAAGTGCAGTTAGCGGTGTTCCTATCAGAAAGTGGGCTGGCGTAAGCGGAGACAAATCATTTGGATCATCTGAGAGAGGCGTAAGCGGTCTTGAATTCAGAATTGCTTCAATTTGAGTAAGGACAGTGATCAATTCCTCGAACGTTAAATTACAATTGCCCAATACTCTATATAAATGATGCTTAATTGCTTTAACACCGGCTTCCCAAAGACCCCCAAAATGAGGAGAATAAGGGGGACATAAATGAAAAGAGATACCCTCATTAGCCAAACCATCAGCCAATGAACTGCAGTCATTCTTTAAAAATTCATTTATTTCATTGTAAGCACTAACAAATGAAGTGCCATTATCAGAGAAAATGTCCGTAGGTTTTCCTCTACGTGAAATAAATCGACGTAATGCACATAAGAAACTATTGCTGGTTAAATCACCTACTAGTTCAATATGAATAGCCTTCGTTTTAAAGCAAACAAAAATTGCGATATATACCTTGACAATTTTACATCCACGGCCTTGACGGCTTGCAGATGAGATAGGCCAATGCATAATCTATGCCTACACATTCGAATGGACGACCTGGAGTTATACGTGATTCAGGTAAGTTTCCCATAAGGGGGGATACTGTTTTCCCTTTCATACGTGTACACCTTATACATTGATAATATGTAGATTTAGCCAAACTACGACCTTTTATTGGCCAATAAGCCTCCCTAATAGACGCTAACAATAGCTGTGGACCGGCGTGCATGAGCTTAATATGTTCTGCTCTAAACAACATTCTTGTGAAGGGATGAGTGGACTGTAATATAGCAGGATGTTTTTTATTATATGAGAACATTGACGCATTTGTCAACCGGCCCCCTACGCGCATTATTTTATTATTATCCATGAATATGTTAAATTTGTTTAATTGGCTCTTTAAAGGTAAGGTTTGTGTTTGCAAGAGAGTTATATATTCTGGAATAGATTCTATTTGAGAAATTTTAATTATTAGATTTAATGCAATTTCTAATTCTGATGGATTAAGATGAGTAGTTTTTGGCTTTAATTTTCTGCAGCCGTTAATAAATCTAAGTGCATATGCTACAGCGCGTTTCAGGCGCAATACATTTGAAAAACGACTAAAATCGATTAACTTGTAATTGTCAAACTTGGTGATATGTAGCGAAATTTCAGGTCGAACTTCGGGAAGTTGCGAACAATTAAGTGGATTTAGAGGCCACTGAGACTCCTCCTGCTTTAAAAAAGGGGGCCCAGACCACCACAGGTCGAGCTCCTGCAACTCACTAGCCTTGACACCGCGAGAGATATGATCAGCAGGATTTTTGTCAGTGGGTACATGTCGCCAGACACTGTGCTCGGTTTTTTCCAAAATTTCTACAACTCGATTGCAGACAAACGGTTGTAGCTTATTCGGTAACATTTTAAGCCACCCCAGTACAATTGTAGAGTCAGTCCAGAAAATGGTACGTTTAACATTTACTCTGAGGGATGACATTACCTTTTCATAGAGACGCACTCCGACTAGAGCGGCACAGAGCTCAAGTCTGGGGATCGTAGTTGGCTTTATTGGAGCGACCTTGCTCTTGGCTAAGAGCAACTTCACCAAAACATCACCCTGTTTGTTAACACTTTTTATATAAAGACAAGCACCATAGGCACATTGGGATGCGTCGGAAAAACAATGAATCTCAATAAGTGAATATGAATCACAAACAACCAGGCGTGGGATATAGATATTATTTAATAAGGGGAGATCCCGTATAAATTTATGCCAGCTGTGAGAAATATCAAACGGAACCAGTTCATCCCATGACAATTTATGCAACCACAGATGCTGCATCAAAATTTTTAGAGATATGATACAAGGGGAAATCAGACCCATGGGATCGAATACCTGGGCGATTACTGATAGTAATTCCCGCTTGGTCGAAACTTTAGGTAATTCCAAATTAATTTTGAAGTACAAGTTATCAGTATCAGGCGACCATCCCAGACCCAATGTCTTGCTGGGTTCAAATCCCATATTCAAATTAAGAGACGAGTTAGACTGGTCCGGAATAACAAGCTGAGACCCATTGGATTTCCACTTACGCAGCACCATTCCCGCGGATGCCAGCTCTGCCGTGATAGCTTTCTTTATATTTAAGGCCTCCTGGTTGGAATCAGATCCTGTTAATAAGTCATCAACATAGAAGTCATGAATAATAATTTCAGACACTTTTTTATCGTTGCAGTCAAGGCCAATTTGTTTTAAACATCTAGTAGCTAGATAACTGGCACTTGAGCAACCATAAGTGACAGTGTTGAGTTGATAGGCTTTTACTTCAGATTCCTCTGGTTTACGCCATAGGATTTGTTGAAGATGCCTGTCATCAGGGTGAACAATCACCTGCCGATACATTTTTTCTACATCAGCAGCTAACACATACTTATAAAATCTAAACCGAAGTAAAATAGAGAGCAGGTCGTCTTGGACTGTTGGTCCTACCATTTGAATCTGATTAAAGGACACCCCTGAGGAAGTAGGGCTACTTGCATTAAAGACCACTCTAAGACTAGTAGTGGTGCTGTTTGCGTTCAACACCCCATGATGAGGAATAAAATAAGATGTAGAATCAATATTTAATTTGCACTCGGTCATGTGTCCGAGTGAATGATATTCTGACAAGAATGCAACATAGCTATCTCGAAAGGCTGGCTGGGTTTTAAACCTGTACTCTAATGAATGCAAGCACCGTTTTGCTCGCTGAAATGAGTTACCTAATACCTTATGAGACTGTTTTAAGGGAATTCTAACACAGAATCGTCCATTTGGAAGACGGATTGTATTTTTTACAAAGTGTTCTTCACATCTTTGCTCTTCTTCTGAATAAGAGGACTTAGAACCTACATCCTCCAACTGCCAAAATTTTGATAATAGACTCTGAACATCATTATTTTCAATATTGCTATGAGTACTTGTATCTAATGTCGTGAGGTTGCATCTAAGAGAAGACTCCTGTCCATTATAAAGGGGTCCTGTCGCGACCAACCAACCCAGTCGCGTCTCCCAGAGAATCGGTTTTTTCATTCCTAAACTTATTTTTCGTGATCCGAGTAATTCCCAGAATATATTACTACCAATTATCATGTCTACTGCAGACGCCTTATAAAACTGTGGATCAGCGAGGGCAATATCATCAGGTATTTTTATGTGTGAAACATTAACAGAGCGGCAAGGTATGTCATCTGTTATAGATGGCAATACATAACAGAGAAGATGTTTCGAATAGTTCTCATTCAAAGAGTTAATTAGGACTCTGCACATTTTTCTCGTAGTGGTTTGAGTTTTATTAATGCCAAATATTGGTTTATCAATATTGATATATTCTAAATTTAATGAGTTACATAATTTCTCAGTAATAATACAAGATGAACTGGCACAATCTAATAGAACTCTGACAATGTGGGGATTACCATAATAATCATTTATACTTATTTGAGCAGTTGACAATAAGACATCTTGATTCACTTCTAAAGATGTATCAGCACAATAAGTAGTGAGTGTTAAGTTTGTAGATCCTTGCCCATTATTACCCGAAGAAGCTGATAGGTTAGACTCATAGTTCTCCGCAGCATTACCCGCATTTGGTAAAATATTTGCATTTGTTCGTTTAAATTCTGATACATGAATTAAGGTGTTATGCTTACGCTTGCATAATTTACACCCATTTTTTTTACAACGATTTGAATAATGTCCAGGACGCAAACAGTTGTAACAAACCTTTATTTGTGGAATTAATTCCAATCTTTGTTCATTAGTGAGGGCCAAGAACTGAGGACAACTTAGTAACTGGTGCTCTCCCTTGCACTTAGGGCATGGTTTTATAATAGAAATATTATTATTATTGTTATGCAATATTGGAGGTGAAGCTACAGACATGAGTGCTTTTAATTTGCTTGTAGGTTTAGACATGTGGTTTGCAACATTACTACGGGTTGATTCTAATGTTTCCAAAAGATCCGCGCGGTCCCTAATAAATTCCAAGAAAACAATGAGTTTTATGGGGTCATTTTTGTTTAAGCGTCCTTTGAATTCCTCCCATTCCCGGAATGTTTTATGATCTAATTTACGTGTCATGATGTGAATGAGAAGAGTGTCCCATTGCTTAATGGGTTCACCAAGGGATTCTAATGCGCATAGACTTTTATTCAGCTGGTCAATTAACCGCTTAAGACTAACCGAAGACTCATTTTTAATAGATTCAACATTAAATAAGTTGTTTACATGGTTTTGAATAAGCAAACGCTTATTATTATATCTATCACACAGTAACTGCCAAGCAACAGCATAGTTACTTGCTGAAAACTCAATTGACTGAATAATGACTGCAGCTGAACCTTCCAGAGAGGCTCGGAGATAATGGAACTTATTAATTTCATCCATATTATCGTTCGAATGTATAAGACTAGAAAATGTGTCGTGGAACTCTAACCAATTATCGTAGGAGCCCTGGTACTTCGGTAAGTTAATTGTAGGTAATTTAACCAGCTGATGGTTGTTTATTCGAGAACCGTCTGTGTTGTCATTACTTAGTAACTTTGAATTCATAGATAAAATATCTTGTGCCTGTGACAGAAGTTTATAATAATTAGATTCAAACTCTTCTCGCTCTGAACATTGTGATTGTAAATCATCAACAAGACATTCTAATTTTAATTGCACCTCATCATATTGATTATACAAAGATTCAATCTTACCTATTCTTAGCTGCAATTCATGTACCTGTTGGTGGCTTAATGTATCTCTCAAGTCATTGATGTATTTAGCAAACCCAGTTAACCGTCCCTTGAAACTAGCTCTTTTCTTAATAAGTTCCTTTTCTTCCCTTTCTGACATTTTGGGGTTCTCTGGTAATGGGTTTATTTAACTGGAATTTAGAAATGTAAACATAAGAAATTGACTAGTATTTTACATAAATATCTGTGACTGAAGGATTGATACAGTATACAAATATGTTCACTGATGTACAATATAGCAGCACTAATAATAATTAAGACAGTAATAAGAAAACTATAATATATTTTTTATACAAAAAACAACACAAAGCTTTTACTTTTAAAGCAATAAATTGACAAGTTTAATAAATAGCGAAATTTACATACAGGTGACAATAACAATGACAAAACACTATATATGTTGTGACTTAAATGCTACAATATTTTCTACTTGTGCATATATAATTATCTTATTTGTGTAATTACACAAACTGTCAAATAAAATTACAATTGAATACTAGAATTTTAAACAAATAACGTAATTTGACAATGAAAAATTTGAAATGAATTTTGAGGTTAACAATGTGCCGGTTTACAATATTTTCTTACCAAATAAGTACTAACACCACTGAATAAGCGAAGGAAACCTGATTACAACAAATAATACTGTTAATTATGACAGACAAACCTTGTTTCTGCTTATTTTTAAATTTAAATTGATAAAGCGATGCTAGTATAACCTGAATGAAAAGAGTATTGGGTTAAATAATTTCCATAAACGATCACTGATCACTTCCCTTAAATTCCTTGGATCCGGCTCGAAGGACCATGTTGTGGATTTAGCTCTCTCGTCAGGTAAGTTTTGGTAATGAAAATAAAGACTTCTTAATGTATTCGTGTATATTTTTAGACGGCCATGACAATACAGTTTTTATAGAGGGAAAAAAGCATAGACAAAAAAAATTAAAACATAGAGGTTGGAGAATAGTGTTGACAGCGTATAAAATGGAACACCCGCATTAAATTTCTATAAAATATATAGACGATATTTCTGGATATACCTATGTAAGATATCAATCAAATTATAAGTAATGTGTAATTATGAGATACGTAATGGGTTTTAAAAAAGAGTATTATCGTAATACTTGTTTGTTATGTAAATTCAATGTTCTTAGCGATTCTGGGAAGATAAAATGTTTATATCTTTGCAGCCCCGAATATCGGTACCTGGACTGCATTTCGATTGGCATCCGTTATTATGACAATAGCAGACAGGACACAACAAATGGTAAATACGCCGTAGTTTGTACAGCAAATTCAGTCTAACTTCGGGCATAAATAGCTCGAGAGGAGTCAGACTCAGTAATATATCTTAACACTATACTGATTTGGTGTTATCTGCTGGTGTATCTTTCATTTGGCTATGACCTTGGGCTTTTTATAAATTCAAGGCACTGAAGATCACTTCAGGAAGCATTTAATTGTTTTATCTTATTATGAAATACCATCAGGACCGAGGTTCATTTACGGTTCCTGAGGCTTTCTCGTACATGAGCAATTTCAGGACCCTGGCAAATATAGCATAAACATTATGTAACGTTTACACAATTTTTAAAGTATGAAATTGTGTAATGTGAGATGTTGTATTAAAGGAATATATTATTATTAAATGTCTATTTTGTGACTTTGTCGCCTCTATTTCACTTTATTCTCAGGTACTTAATTAATTATTTATAAATTTTTAAATTTATACCTACATATTCTAATTTCTTATTTATTATTTCACTGAAAATGTTTTGTCAACGCGACGTAATTTTCATCATTTCTTTATTTAACAGTATATTTTAATAATACTTTTTAATGTTACAGTGCTGATTATAAAACTTTACTACTAAATAGAAGTAAATATTTGTTATACTTTGTTTGGAATACTATTATTGTCCCTATTTTTATGGTAATCTTCTCGGTATCTAAATAAAATAATACGATATTTCAATGATTTATAACATCGATCTAAGTACTATAAAATTAAAAGTTTACAATCGCTTCAAGAATGACTGACTATAATAATGACGTTTCTGTTCATAACTTGCAACTGATAAAGAACAGTTGACTTTCAAGTGCGGACGCACCGGAGTAGGGTCAAGACTTCAGGATTCAAACGTCACCTACGTTACCTACCACCTACCGCCGAGGACTGAAGGTTCAAACCACTTCGTCAGTAATCGTCAGTCGAATTCTAAATACCGCGTGAATAGCACGGCTTCATGCTACTAGACTAGTACAGTTCGAACGCGAGCAAATCTAAATCTTATCTCTTATCATTTTAAAATGACACATAAACGAATTACCTCACAAGTGTTGTGATAGCGAATATCTAATGATCAACGTTCTGGTTATATTTTATATACATTCTTTATGTCCACTTCCAACATGCGTTATTTTATAACCGCAACTTTAAAGTGAAATATAATTTTTGTGTATTGAAAGTGTTGTGAACGACTTGAACTAGTTATAATTAATTTGTTAAATAGAAACAAACAGATGTGATGACAATGGTAGGGTTAACTTTATTAATTGTTCCGCTCTTAGTCGTATCTGTGGTATGCAACCCTTGCAGTGAGAGGGAAAGCATAGATATAACGAACGGCGAGTTACTCCACAACAGCTCCATAATACATAATGGGATAGAATACAAAATTGGAACTTGGTACCAACCTGAAGAGTCTATCCGGTTAGGATGCCCCTGTATCGGCCGTATATGCATATGGAAATGTTGTGGTCCCAGTGAAATGTATCAGAACAAAGAGTGCGCGAAATCTGACTTGGAAGTAGTCAATCCTTTCAATCCTACAGTTTACAAAGGCAGGGACCCTGTACAAGTTGATGCACACCTGCATTTCTTCTATATGTATAACACTCTCTGTGACGACAAGTACCTCGTGGACACCAATATCAATTACCAAGAATTGTTCCTTCAAGAGGTAAATAATATACAATTTTTATAATGTTATTATTTTTGTTTATTTAGTTTACACTTAAACTATTATCCTCGACATAGGTAAAATAAAAAAGTTAATTTGACTACTCCAACAACGTTTATAATTTTTATTTGTTGTTTGTTAAAATTAATATTTCAACAAATAAATAAACATCTATAAACTATGAAAAAAAGATAATAACATTTATCAAAGAAAATAATAGCTACATTTAATCTGTAGATTATGTCAATATTTTAAATCGTAACAAATAAAAAGGTATTAAGCGCATTGGGTATTTAGTACACTTATTTTATTTTACAATGTTGAAGTAAAAATAATATTCATGTCGTGACAAGAGTTCACCTAAATACCTAGAAACTAAATATATATTGTACTTGTACATATTATAGTAGGTGCACAGTCAGGACGAAGCAGGTAATTGGCAAGTTGAAAAGAAAACGCCTCGTACGCGACGTTTTCCACATTCCGCCTAATTGTGGTTTGCATACAATGCAATGCAAACAAAACACGTATACACTATGAATTCTGAGGAAATATATAAAAAAACTACGTTACAATTTCCTACCCGATCTGAATAAACTCAAAAAATAATAAAACGACATTGATTTTCATTTATAAAATGTAAAATATTGTTATGTACAACGTTTAGTAACGTAATGTAAATAAGAAATCAGAGCTCTAACTGCTAAAAACGTAATCAATCATCATTATGAATTAGTTAATGGATAAATGGTTGTGAAAATATCCGAAATGTTTTCATAAATGAATATAAGAATAAATAATAATTAATTTAAAATAATAATATCTCAGGATAATTCACACAGCGTCATATATTCCTAAACTAAGCAGAGCTTGTGTTATGGGTACTAGACAACTGATATTGATATTCTTATACTTACATTGATACATTTTTTTGTAAATACACACTTATTAAGCTTACAGAGAAAACATCCAGTCCGATACAAGCCTTGTTGTCTGACAGATTATACTCGAAAAAATATCTTTGTGAAATGCAAAACATTTCAGAAAGTTCTTATGCTAGAACTGTTTAAGAATTTAAAAAAAAACAGTGTCTGTACATATTATATTGAAATAAAATGGAACATGCATATCCTTCTTCGGCTTTACAAGTGGATGATGCCGCCGTTAGTGATTAAACTGTTCAAGAACTGATTGCGAGAGATTAGAAGAAATAACATTTTGGAACGACAGTACTAGTTCTAAACTAAAAACAGCTGATATCTCGTACAAATTTTACTCTGTATTTTAACCGCATTGGATAATTTCTCTAAAGAATCTGAAACATAGGTAGTCATGCCTCTTATTTATACACTGCCGACCATAGTTCAGTTTTAATCTCAGGTGTACTTAACTATTCATATACCGGTAAGATGACGAATACTTTATTTTTTGTGTATCTTCGTTATTATATTATTTCTTGGAAGGGTGACGTTTTTTAAAGTAAACTGATAATAAAGTAAACAATTCGTATTCTTTCATTCATTCAACGTGAACATATCAGATTTAAATCTACCCTTACTTTATAGCGAGCAATTCTTCAAATTTTAATTCATTTTACGTTATGAAACTTATAGAGAATATAATTATGCCAATATATGTACTATCGGCAATCGCAATGCTACTCTCTTATAGATGAATTTTTCTGTGCTATATTCAAAATTAACCTTAAGTTTATCCACCATAGAGCATTCAAGGAAGCAATTACAAAAGATTTTTCGTTAATTTAGAGTAGTTTTGTCTAAGACAAGCGAATACGACATGAGGCAACTTAAGAAATTGCACACAAAATGTAACGTAGTTTAAAATAAAACATGTAAAGAATTTCTACGGGTTTGAACAGACTTCAAGAGTCAGGCTCCGATGTTGTCGATAGTTACGATGGCAACTCAGTATTCTTGGCAATTTTCACCAAATAACGATGAATAAATACCTAATAATAATTCATTTTCATAACTGTAACGAGTAATTCTAATTCTGCTTCTAAGGTAATTTAGTAATACATTGAATTTCTCGAAGTTATCCATTGTTTCTTAAGATTCTCTTAAAACTCTTTTTATTTGTTACTATTAACGACATTACATTACAAAGTAATAATGCTTTAAGCTTTGCTTTAATGCTTTTAAGCTTACCTACTTAAATATAGATAACAAAAATAGATATGAAAGTTATGCTTCCTGCCTCAGTCACTCCGGGAAAAATATTTAACAAATATCTGTGATAACTTAACTTAACGTATGATGAACTAGAAAGTGAATATTTTTTTGTTTGTTGAATTGTTAACTTAACGTCATAGCGGCTGAAGCAGTTATTAATATTTTTTTTAATATCTCAGGACAATACCCACAGCTCCATCTAGTCCCAAGAGAAGCAGAACTTATATTAGGATTACTATACAACTGTTATAATATATAGACATTTTTTTTGTAAATGCGTACATATTATATACATACCCATATAACATACCCAGACCGATACGAACAATTATACTCATGATTGTTCGTATCGGTCTGTAATGTTTCTACCGCGAGGAATTGAACATCGGAAATAAAGCGGAGTGCTAAACGGCTGGACCTCCAAGGCCGTCATCTGTCATCCTCATATGATAGTCATTGTTATTATAATTTCGTCTAACTAAAATATCCTAGACTCGCTTATAAAATTGTCTTCAACTTAAACATATGTAAATACTAGCTGTGCTCGCGGTTTCACCCACATGAAACTTATAGCCTATGTGTTATTTTGATATATAAGCTATGTTACTGTAAAGTTTAATCAAAATCCGTAAAGTAGTTTTTGCGTGAAAGAGTAACGAACATCTATCCATTCATACTCACTTAAACTTTCCAGTTTATAATATCAGTAAGATTTCAATCTTGACAAAATTACTATTCAATTAAATGACAGAAACAGAATACTCTTGATCAGATTAACTAAAATTACATATTGTCTATAAAAAATAAAAACCAATAAATACAGACAAATTAAGAACCTTCCCATTTTTTCAGATATGTTAATAAATTGATAGATCGCAAACAGTTAATTATGTTCTAGTACTAGTGGTAGTAGGTACTACCAATATTCTGTTAGACACAGTTTGCTTTAGTCCAAATTAGTAGACACTTACGAGTTGCGTATATATTGGCATGGCGTCACTGTTTTCTATGGTCAGCCCTAAGTTAATATTACGTTGTTAATAGTACGTAAGTTGGCCATTACCCGAAACAGAACACCGCTTTTGTAAGTGGTGCTGTTAACTCTGACTCATAAAAGATAAGTAAACAAAAGTAATTAACTTTGTCAGCAATTTAAGAGAACCATCAAGTCAAGCAAACATTTTTATTGGATTTTTTTTCGAACTACTTTAAAACTGTAAAAGAAAGACCTCTGTCTCATTTAGGTATATTAGTTGCCAAACAGGTTGTTTTGTAAGGTGTGTTTTGGTTGAAAGGAATCATTTGTTTTTTTATCAAACTATTCTAATGCTATTGGCCGCAGCTGGCTTTTACAGCTTCACCGGCGAGTGCAGCTCCTTACCCGTGGAAGGATTTATGGAGCGGCTGAAGGTCAGCTCCCGCCTGAGAGATACAACTTTAGTCTGAGGGCACCGCTAGGGGTTCGAATCTCGGCTAAGGCCGTCGTAATTTCGATCCCCATTTGAATTGGACGGGCGATTGATCGGAGGTGATTTTTTTTGGTATACATGTCTTGTGCCTACAGATATTCTGGTGGCACAAGACATGTTGTTCTCCGTGTGATGGCAGTCCTTTTTTATTAGATGTAAAAGTAATGGTGCATACATCTGTGCTAACGGTATTGGCTGACCACCAGAATGGAAGATGAGACGCTGAACACGAATCCAATCGGTTTATCCATTCTACTAGGCGAATTTACTAGGAATTAATCACAATGGTCTCGAGTAAAGGCAGCGTGATGTCGACCGGCCGCGTGAACCTGACATGGTACAGTGATAGCAATGAGATCACTAGTTTTTATTTTTATTACTAATAATCTCTTTCCTCCCGTAAAGTTCTTTCGCCCGTTATCTTCATCTTTAGGAAGCGAGACGCGGCTTTAAAACGATTGAATGGCAAATTGTGCGAGTTGGGTTCCTGAATCCTAAAGATTGTCGTTATCGTCAATATTGTATAAAGGGCTACGTCTAAAGTTTTTGCGTCGTGAAGCAAAAACTTTGTAGCCCTTTTTACGGAAATTTCGTGGACCCAGAAGTATGAAATTACGCACACCAATATTTTATATAGAGAAGGAGTTCAGAATGCTTATATTTTTTTAAATTATGCATAAATACAATAAAAGAATAAAAAAACATTACACACCATGTTTTTGACAAACACACGTATATATATATATATATGTGACTACCAGTGCTGTATTTATAAAAGTAGATATAGTATAACAATAGAACCTTAAGTGTTCAAACCTATAGTAAAAATGAATTATGATTGAATTTCGACGATTGAGCGACCACTAGTAATAATAAATTCTTAACTTAAAAAATCTGATCATAGTATCAATCCTAATTGTAGTTAAAAATTTTGAAGATCTGTATATAATAAGTGTATTTATTTTCTCACACGAGCAATGAAACAGTTTTCTAATATATGTAAATAGACAGGTTAGATGAGGGAGACTCCCAAAATTTTCTCTCTGTGCTACGAGTCTCCTATGATGAAAATACATTAATTCGAAAAAAATTGGTTGATATGTAGATATAGGATTATACATACGATACTTTATAGACGAATCTACAAGAACAGTTAAACGTAATACAACTATTATAGTTTTTTTTACTAGCGACTCGCCTTAGTATCGAGTATTTTAATAAATTTACACAAAACTTTATCAAATGACGCACCTTCCTGAGAAATCACCGTATTTATGTATTTAACCGTATAAAAATCCGTTGTGTGGTTTTTGCGATTATCGCGAACATACAAATAGAC